CTAAACAAAGATTTCCTCTTCACCAGGACCTTTCTGGAGCTGATTCCGTTCCTGACACCACATCGCTGCAGCACAGAGCTGTGATACCACCTGTGATAAGAAAGAAATACCTCTTCTGAAAGAGGGGCGCCYTTCCATCTATCTTAAATCATGTTGCAGTTGTCTTATATTCCAGAGACTACTGGAATAATAAAAGCTAACCTTTGTTAGCTTTTATTTCATCAGACATCACAGGGAATAAGAGTGAAATGGCTTGGATTTTTTTTTATTCTGAATGGAGCTGTTCAGGGCTGGCATCAATGCAAAGAGGTGCCTGTCCAACTGCCCTTCGTTCGTGAGGGACACAAGAGATGGTCAGTGGGAAGGCTGGTTATCTGAGTACCACAGCGTGGGGACTGCCATGCAGGGGRCAGAGGAAAGAAAGAAGCTCTTGGAATTTCATGTCCTTGCCTGGCTATCAAAAACTAAAGTCGTTTCAGACTTCAAGACAGGGAACTGCGGGGAGAGGTGCTGAGATGGAAGAAACATGGTYTTTTCATCTGTAACTCATTAAGTATTTTTTTTTTTGCCATGCTTTTCATGAAAGATTCTGTATGCATTGTTTTTCTGCTAAAGCAGCACTGTGTGTTTTATAGGCAGTTTAACATTATTTTTTCTACAGCTGTACTCAGGAGCTTGTTCAGGCCTGAATCTTGCATTGCTAAGTTGTCCAAAAGAAGCTTGCTTGTTTTTTCTATAAAATTTGGGAGTAATGTGAAAGCATTTTATGCTTTATTTTTCAGAGTAAGGCCAAATGGGGGAAGGCAAAGACATGGTGAAGATGTTGTGGGGCTTTCTAAATTGAGAGAGAAAAATAAACTGAAATAGAAACACAGTAAAATTCTCTTGGGTGTATTTAAAGTTAGATTATAGTTAACTCTTGGACATTAATTTAAATGCTATAAAAGTTGCTACGAGATGTTATAATAGCTTGCAATTTTTTTATTTATTTTCTTTTATCAGAGGCCATAGAGTAGACTTGCACACTGGCAATGACAGCAGCTCCCAGATGTAAATAAGTCAAAGGCTTTTCTTTTCAGGGGTAAGCAGGTGAATTTGCAGCACTCCACCAGCATTTCCTTGCTCTTTCTATTTCCATTCTCTTTATTCCTTAATACAGCTCGTTGGCTCAGCAGGTTCACAGGTCACTGCATCTTGTGTCTCTGCCTGTTTGTAACAGCAGGGTAACGAGTCATGGATCCACAAGAGTACAGTACTGCATAAGATCTCCACGTTGGTATTATTTTCTGTCCCTGAAYGTGACAGCTTTGTAAAGCAATTGCATGGCCCTGGTATTGCACCAGTGCAGTTTAGCCCCCTGATTGCAAAGTTCCTAATCAAACTCTGCCATCACCAGCTGCTCCACAAAACCCAGAGCTACCAGTAGCTACAAGGCAGGTAAGCACTAGGCAGGGTTTCTGCTGTGGAAATRTGGGCAGAGCAGTACAGGGTCAGCCTGGAAATCTGGTTCAGAGGCAGGAACACCAACCTCTTTATTTTCTGCTTCCAAGCTTTAACTCAAAGCTGCCCTTCAGTTTTTGTTGTAGCCAAGTAGTTGGCTATCTTGCCAAACCTTTGACAGAGATKTTTCATGGATACCCATATTTGCTATCAGGGCAATAATTATTCTTGAGTTTTGCTTTCAGTACAAACAGTGAATGGGACAAATGCTGCTGGAAAGCAGCCTCTGCCAAGCTTCTAATTTTTCTTTTTYCTCCAAAGAGTCAAAAGTGTGGCCTGTGCATCCAGCTGTGAGCCTGGCTTCTTTGGATTTGTGGTCATCAGAATTAGCATAAACAGTTAGGGTTTTCTTGGTGTCGTGGCCCTTAGATTGAAAACTGGTGTTTTAAAAGACATTACAAAATGTTCAACATACTGGGCTGCTTTCCAGTGATTTAATTGAAAAGGCTATTAGTGCAACGCTCAACCTCAAATCCACCTTTTGGAATCTGAGGATCATATATTTGTATTAACACAAAGTCCTGCCTGAAGTTTTGCCTTCATCCCTCAAGATATAAAACAGAGCAGAACTCGTCCTGGAGGCTGCTGTTGTGCGGTAGACGTCTCGAAGTGTAAACCAAAAATGAGAATCATCTTTGATAATGGGAAAGATGACAAATTTAACAACCTCTTTTCTTTGAAGCGAAGCCTTTAGGATAAATAGGTTACCCTTGTAACCGGGTTAGCTGAAATGAGGCCTGAGGTTTCTCCTTCTGCTGTTCCCAGRGAGCCTACAAAGTTCCAAAAGCAGAGGGAGAAAACCTAGATTTAAATTATTGCAGCCTCTGGCTGAAAATGAGATCAAATTCATAGATCTGAAGTAAGTGCTGAAGTAAGTGTTGGCGAAGACCTTTCTAGGGGAGGGGAGCCATTTTTGCCTTTTTTTTTTTTTTTTCCCCTCCTTTTTCATCCCTTGTGCCATTTGGGGCTTCAGCGGTGTTTATTTTTAGTGCATTTAAACATTGCCGAGGCAAGAGGCAGTTGTAATATGGCATATTTACATCATGCTGTCAGCTCCTGGCAGCAGCTCGTTCGCCTGTCAGAGAGCACAGGAGGGACGCGGCCCGTTGCGGGCGCGAGGGCTGCTGATGCCCAYGAGGCTGAAGCACCATCTCCAGGGGCCTTGGGAAGCCTCGCAGGTTGGTTTGTTTTTCTAACGTGCACTAGGGGTTTTATTTTCATACTGCAGAGCCAGGCCTGGGTTACACAACCTCCTGCTATTTCCCTCCACTCCCCTGCAGCATATTGAGCAGGGGGGAAAGAAAAGAGAGGGGCAAAATGTCTCTGCGAGAGCAGCATGTGCTGCGTTTTCCTCCCTTGTGTCTCGCTTGAGCTCTCTGCCCCGTTACAAAAATAAAGAGCTAAAAATAAAAAGAACAAATGCGGAGGGGGACAAACCGGACCCGCAGCTATGTGCGTGTCACCGCTTGCCGCGCTGTGCCTAGCCCCATTCCTGCCAGGCTCCGTACATTCCCCGAGTCTCGCGCCACTTGGGATGGGGAGAGGGCACGGATACGACGCCGGCTGCAGAGGTTTGGGCCTGCCGTAACCCCGTATTARTTCCAAAGCGGTTTGGGGGTCTGAGCTCTCTGGGGCGACACGCTGTCTCTCGTGCTCTCAAATGGAGGCACCCTCYGATTTCCCTTTCTCGGAAACTCTGCTCTGTCTCAGTGTGCGGGGAGAGGCCGTGTAAATAAATACCAACCACATCTTAGCCTTTGGGAGGCATTTCCTTTTTCCTGGTGGCTACAGAAGAAACGCTTTCTCACAGTTTGGCATGAAACATTCATCAAGCTTTCCTGCTTCCAAAATTTTTGTTTAGACAATCAGATTCTTGGTATAGTTTTTTTTTATTTGTTTTATTTTTGCACTTCTGTGTTTCCTTGGTTTATCAGTGAAGAGTGTCTGTCATCACTTCTTATGTTTTGGGTAATAGAATAAATAAATGATTATAGGCAGATTTTGTAACATTGGAAGGTCATATTTAAAGAATAAAAATTAAGCTTATCTCTTCTTAATAGTGATGAAAAAAAATGAGTAACTTATACCTCTGCCAAAAAGATTTAAGTTATAACTTGTCTTAAATGCTTGAACTRTAAAACAGTGTATTGCCATAGAGTCCAGCTTTCAACTCATAAATATGATTTGCGTTTAATACAAAGATTGGTGCCTGCTATCATGGAATGACATACTACAAAATTTTCTCAAGTGTAAGTCGCATAGTTACGGCAGCAAAACACATTGTTGCCTTTTAAATGCTATAGGTAGTGATTATAATAGCAAAACAGATGTACCAGTTTTGTCAAACGTGTCCTGTTTTGATAGATAGATAGACAACAGAGCCTTTGAAGTAGCCATTTCCTTCTACTGAGACCTCTTGAACAACTGACTAGGAAAGCAAGGCTTCAGTAGAGGTGACACTAATATTTTTATAATATCACTTTTATGTGCATTCTCATTCAGCTGAGTTTTGTTATCTTCTGAAGCTTAGCCAGGCTGAACTGTACCGGCACTCGTAGGACTTGTAACTCAAAGTCTAGCTAGAACTTCTTACAGTTCCTCACAATAGAAGATATTTTAGATATTTCTTCTGGAAATGGTTAGGAAATAAGTACTGAGAAAAAAAAAAAAAGTACTAGTTGGGTTTTGTAATTTTGCTCTGTTTTACCTTACTGCTTATGTATTTCTTAGTGGAGCCACCCCACATAAGTAAGCTCTGTGTTCATAGTTCCTCGACAAGTGCTACTCGTGCTGGATGTCACAGCTGGATGATGGCCCCAGGGAGGACAGTCTCTCTGCTTCATTTTGGCAGAGCAAGGAGTGAGAAGGAATCTTAAACTTTCCAGCCTTGGTGACTTTATTGAACTGATCATTGGATAGAGAAATTTGTGAGAATCTCAAGCTATATTTGGTATCTGCTGCACGAATTCTAGGCCATAAATCTTTTCCCAACATCATCACTGCCACAGTAATGGTACAAGCCTTACAAGTACCTTAACAACCTKTGAGTGTTGTTAAACTCTACTGTGTTGGGACCTCATCAGTAATTTTAGCATGAAGCAGGAAACTAAAATGATGGTATAAGGATGCTGTGCTTCAGAAGATTACCTCTAGGTAGCATAAGCCATGTGAACGGGGCAAAATGGAGAGTTTTGTCCTGCTTATTCATAAATGAGAGAATTTTGGGGAATGTTAACATGTGTTTCAAGTTACATGTAACACATGTTCTATATTAGGGTTTCATCTGAATTGGGGCAATTAATTCTGAAGTGAAAGATCAGACTGGAATTTAGGTTTCATTTCTGCTGCAGATACATGTACACAGGATGAGCAGGCATTTCAGTGTGGCTTATTTCCTTCATGGTAATTAATGTACTGAAGACACTTGCAGCTAAATAGAACATATTGATGTCATGCTTCTTTAAAAGTCTTACAGTGTTGGTCTACTCTGTTTTCTGTAGGAAAAAGAGAAGAAGTATATGCTTCCTTTGGACAATTTGAAAGTGCGGGATGTTGAAAAGAGCTTCATGTCTAGCAAACACATCTTTGCATTATTTAACACGGAACAGAGGTAAGAAAATATGCTGCTTGTAGATAGTTTTACAAAAGTGGACCTGGCCAAGCACTTTAATTTCTGCYGCTTCTATGATGCGGGTGAACAGAGATCTTGATGCCTTCGGTTCATCTCTKTCTGTGCTGTTGCATAAACACGGAACCAAAAGCTAGTGTCCTCCTAGCCACAGGGTGAAGCAGCTCCGTGTTTAGTCATCCAGCTCTTCCGTATGGCTGAATAATCATCTCCCGAGCCTATTTTTGTTTTGTTTGGCATTCTCCTAGGCTTACCAAAACATTCATGACTTCTGTACCTTGTGACCACATTCAACTAGTGTAAATCACAAAAGCTTCCTTAGAATTTTCCACTTTCTCCAGCGGAACATCTCGCTGCCTGTAATCTTGGGAGTCATTCTGTTATTTGTTTGGGTTTAAATACAGCTGAATGAAGAACAAATGAGATTTCTCTGCCTCCTTAACTCATTAGGATCTTTGCTTTCTAGTGTTTTACCTCATACTTTTCCTTTCAGACTCCATCCTTTGATCTAAGCAGTGTGGGTGCTCCCTGAAATTCTATTCCTGATGCACAGCCAATTCAGATACCTGTGCACAAATAAGTCAACCTGGAAACCTTAAGTCATACAAGTGATCTGTACGTGTGTTTTAAGCTAAAGGGAAGAGTTGTGTTTGCAGCTGGCTCAGTGGAATTGCATTGCAGTAGATGAGGTGAATTTTTGTTGTCGTYGTTGTCCCCCCGCTAGGAAATTAGGTAAAATTGAGTGGTGGCWTTCATAGATGTCCCTGTTTTCTTCTTCTCTTCTGCTAAATCCCTCACTCCCGCTCCGCCTCCCGTAACCGAAGCTTGGCAATGCATTCAAATGTTGCTCAAGATGATGAGGGCTGGATGTTGTTCCCTGCAGAGCCAGCTGTTGTTGCTCCTGAACTGGCCAGAAATAGTCATTGCAGAAGCGAGGAATGTCCCTCCCTTCTGCAGCGGAAAAGCAAAGCRCAGGCTTTCTGGACTGTTCGTGGCTTCTGCTCGTCACAGAAGCACGAGGACTAAAAATGAGTCTAACTCTCAACTGCCCCACGAAGGCTTTGCCTGCATCTGCTGACTGCTCAGCTGACCTATGTGTAGACTTCTCCTGCCAGGAGGTGCACTTTGAAAATGTGCCTCGCAAATACTTGCTGGGAMTAAGATTTCAAGCATTTGACCGCTTACATTTCCGAAGCACAATAAAAGWTTTGGAAAAGTTTTCTTAAGTTTTGAAAAAACATACGTATTTATCTTCAGATGCTGAAAATTAATGCAGTTCTGACTGCTTTATTACAGATGCGTGTAAACAGTCTTAACATTGCACACAGAGCAGTCAAGAAAGATAATTTTTTCCTGATGGCTGCGTGTCAGCTTGTACACATTATGCTTCTTCCATGAGAAGCCTTTTAATTTTAGTGCATTGTTTCTCCTTTGTTTGACTAATGGATTTGAATATTTTTTTTTTCATCTTAAATATTAAGCACGGCACTGCTGTGAAAATCCAAGGGAAGCATCCATTTTTCTTGACAAGCCTGGGACTTATTTGGGAGTTATGTAGCTGCATGTTGATCACTGGATCTTTGTGTGGACTGCACAGCAAGGCTTTCCAAGTGAGATATCTAAAATGTTTGCCATATCTGTAATAACCCTGCCCTTTTGGGCTGCCAGTAGGTCCTCCCGCATCTGCAGCCTACTCTAAAAACATCCTTGCATCTCTATGGACGTGCTAAGACATGACGGCCCGGTGATAAGTTGCCAAGATTACTGGGCCTCGGGAGGGGCTGTTCGAGGAGAATCCCCTGACTTGAAATATTTAATCAAAGGCAGAATTTGCCTTTGATTAAATATTTACGGAATTGTAATTCAAGCAGCTATTCCTCTGTTGCCATGAACAGCTGATCTTTTTTTGATATTTCTCAAAATCTCTCTTCTGGCATAAATTGAGCAAATCAGGTTCAGTATCATTTGGCTCTCCCCTACCTCCTAAATTCTTAGGCTGTGGATGTGCCTGGGATATTGGGGCTTGTGTAAAGTAGTGCAGCCCTCAGTGAGCTCTGGAGAACCTGAGACACACAACTGGTGGAGAAARCCTGATATAAAGGCTCTTGTTGGTTTGCTTTATGCTAATATGTTGGTTTCTGATTTCTGAATGGATGGGGAGTTGAAAGATCTTGCTTTCTAAATTCATGAAATAATTTCCTGCTTTTTTGATTTGTTTTTCAAAATAATTTAGTAACTGAGAGACAAATCAGCTTTCTCCTTAGGAGTCTGCCTGCTGAGAGTTCTGGCTCTGGAAACGTTTTTCTGTTTAAGATGTGAATTATTAAAGAACAAAGGGAAAATCATCTACTCTGGCCTCCTGGATAGTGTGGGGCCAATTCTGTATCCCTCTCTTTCCTAATTTATTTTTATTCCCCATAACCTGTTTTTTTTAATTGATTATGCAAACTTTCAAAATGTACATTTAAAAATATTTTAATATGCAAACAAAAATCTTTTTAGGAGAGGAATTTTCATAAGCTTGTTCTTCTCATTCCCAGGCCTTCAGTGTATAGGTATTTGCTGCTGCCATATGTTTCTGATACCGTACGTTTCAATAGTTTCCTGGATTATGCACGGCATTTTTTTTCCATTTATGAAACCTTTCCAGTTGTGAAATATGGTTACCAGRGAACTCCTCATCTCACTGAATAGAAGGAGAAACCAGCTTGAGTTAGGAGGCTTGGGGGTAGAGGCAGAAGGGAACTCACAGTATCTGTCACTTTGATTTACTGCAGGAGTCAACAGTTCTCTGACAGAAATCAAATGTGACTCGGTAATGTGTAGTAAATGGAGACTGTGATGATTGATTTCACAGTGAAGATAAATTCTCATGAAATGAAATATAATTGCATGTCTATGAAAAGCCTGTGTTGTGAAATAATTAAATTCTTTTCCTATTACTTGCTAATTAAAAATCTAAAAAAAAAATAAAGTGAAAAAGAACCCCCCTGCTGTGAAATAAAAGTAGTATTGCCTAAAGAAMAGGGGAGAAGGGCTTGGCTGCCAGCAAACCAAATAATTATTGAAAGTTTTTTTGAGCAGGACCACGTACTTTAAGTTCCACGTATTATAGTTACCATGGAAGATCTTTGGGGATGGGCTTCTCCACTTGACTTAGCAGCACTGGCTGCTAAAGCAGAGCACGGCAGGGCAGCTGCCCTTTGACTCCTGGGTCACTTTGGCAGTGTCCATCTACAYGAGTCTGCTGTGAAGCAGTCGAGGTTGAGCTGCAGGACTGAGCAGTGTGTGTCTACACCGAAGGCTATGGAGAAAGCAGGAGGTTATTTTGTGCTTTCTCTCCTCCCTTTCTGTCTTCTTGGTAAGCTGCTGGTGAGTCTGTTAGTCTGGAAAAGAAATGCAGACAAAATATTGGAAAATAATTAACTTGTAGAAAAAAAGAAATGTCTGCAGGACTGCTGCAGAACATGAATGAAATTGTGTGCTTTCAGCCTGATGGGAAGCGGAAGGAGAGCAAGTATYGTGCTGCCTTTCACGCAAGCAGAGCATGGGTGAACAGCTTGAGTGACGCCTCTTTCCATGATTCCTTGCTGGGTGGTGAGGTGCCAGGAGGCTGCTCCCAGGGCCAGGGCTGATATTCCCGGAGGCCCAGGGCTCAAGGCCTGGAGCCAGCGTCGGAAACTCTCGTGAACACGAGGCAATTTACAGGTTTTCCCTGGTGGGAGAGGAGGCGAAGGGCTGGCAGGGTCGCTGTGTACAGGCAGCCCGCRGTTGGGTTTCTGCAACAACGCTCAGAATGGAGAAAGGATTTTGTCAGCACATGTACACCCACCAGTTCAGACACTGCAGGTGGATCTGCTTTATATAAGCACAAACCCCTTGTGCAGAACCCAAGAACAAACAAAAATTCTGTCCATCCCAGGAAGTTTACTTTTCTTCCAGGGTTTCAATCTAAACACTTTGCCCATTCCCCACCTATTTCCCGTAAAAATTATTTGCTAGTTGGCACTTTTTCTTTTAGGCAAGTGCTGTAATATGGGATAAGGACTGTAGTCTTAAAAATGCCTCCCTTTCAGGATCTGTTCAACAGTCCCAGTTCTCCCAAGTTAACAAGGGCAAGCAGTCATCATATCTCATGATCTTGCCCTATGTTACAGCCTCCACATGCTGCAATTTTGCTTAGTTCTGTGCTGCCATAGRGCAATGGATCTTCTTTCCTAGGAGGCAAAGAAGCAGAACCAGTGTGTGAACCTCAGCTGCAACCTTCCTCCTCATACACTGACCAGTGTAGATCATCTCCTACTCCTTCACTTTGGCAGTAATCTTTGCAGAGCACAGCAATATTCCTGGACTCCGTGGGGTATTTAAACATCTATGAGCTCCAGCTACAAGTTTGGGACAGGAATGCAATTAAACTGGGACTGGGCTGTTTTGAGGAGACTTGAGAATTCGAGAGTTGGGCCCTGTAGACGTTCCAGGGAGGCCTTGAAAGGTGAATGTTGTTCTAGGAGGGGATGGGACTCCAGATGCGTTAGAACTTAAGTAAAATTGCTGAATTCCTTCTTGGGGACAACAACTGGTTAACTGCTATCCATATATAAGGGAAATTGGAGCAGAGCCAAAATAAAGGGAACTAGTGAAAGGAGACCGGGTCAGAGAAGGTGTTGGATGGAAGCCAGGCTAAGGGAGAAAGCCTAAAATGAGATGTATGTTTAGTTACTGTTTTTGAATTGCTAAGAAAGCTAAGCCCCAGGAAGAGCTGGACTGTAAGCTATTCACAGCCCTCTGATAGAAATGGAAGAATAAGGATTAATTAAAAATCCCATTAATTTAATCCAGAAAAATGCTGCTGAGTATTTTTTTTTAAGCAAATAAACTTCTAAGATGCTGGTGAGTACAATTTTTAAGAATAGAAAAATATACCAACCTGAAGAGTAAGTSCTCTTTATACCCCCAGTTCTGTTCCATTAACAAAAAGCTGCTTCTCCTGGGATATTTCACTTTTGTCAGCACTGCAGAGAATGCTTTTAACAATAAGCAAAACACAGGACAGTGGCTTGGTGGTGCAGGTRAAMACTGGCATTACAGAGCAAATGTGGRGCCTCAGAGAAAGAAACAGCAATGCCAAAACCACGCAGTAAATGAAGTTTTGCAGCAAAGGGATGGAACATGGAAAGTGAGGACTGAGTCGTGACTGGTGAACTGCATGTAGCCTGCAGGGTGGCTCAACCTCACCTGCTCCCCGTCACCCAGCAAAGCCACCAGTGCTTCCTCCAGGGCTGGAGCTGGAATTGAGCTCTCTCCATGCAGGAGGATGAGGCTCAGACAGCTGGGAGCAGCTTCTGTGTGTGTGTGTGTGGCCCCCAAGCAGGTTCCAGCGCTGACCTCAGTCCCTCACCACAAAAAGGCTCAAACCTCCCCCCCTTCTTGGAGGAGTCGGSGAGTACTTTTGTGCCAGTTGCTATCACTGCTGCAGCTTTTGGCCTACGTGATGTGAGTTTTGGCTGCAGTTCTGTTTTGGGTTACATATAGAATTTTAGACACTTCATTGTCCAGGTTCAGCTCAATACTAATCAGCATCTCTGCTGTTCATTTTCACCTTAAAACTTGGTGCATTTGTGCATGTGTGAACTAGATCCCTCTACTTCTGAGTGATGTGAGTAAGAGGGTAAAATCCTTAAGTGCTGTTACTCTATAGTATTGTCTCACACATRCTCTTTTTCTGGGAATTCAGGAAAAAGAAATGTTCAGAGACGTTTAATTAATTTTAATTACCATTCACATTGGACTGATGAGAAATGTCACGCCTTGGCAGARAATGTTAGTCATTGCTCTTAACTCATAGCAGATGGTCAGCTTCGTTTCTTTAATATGTATGATTTGCAGAGCTTCAAGCAGCACTTTCATGTAAGAAAAATAGTGTGTATATTCAAACCAGCCATTGTGTAATTGCAGGTGCCTAAAATGGTGCACTTAAGGTTGAATAAGTAGAGTATATACAGTGAGTTGCATTCCAGGTTGATTATTTTCCTTAGTAATCCATATATGTTTGGAGTGTGTGGATTCCATTTTCTCCGTTTTTCATTTTATGTGGCTAGATCTGAAACCCATATTCTATATGACTGCATTTGCAACAATAAAAATATTGAAGAATTGAATCTTTGGCCTTGCTTTTGTGGAAGGGAGCCAACTTGCATTTGGCTCCACAATTTTGAGTTCAATTTAATTGCAATTTCATTCTAATAAATAGAGGATGCAATTTCTATTTATGAAAAGAAAAAAATTAAAGGCAATTTCAGTTGATTAACACGGTGCATACTCTGATACCTTTCAGATTGTGAATACTTTTAATCACTTCAGTGCAGCTACTCAGATTAAATGTGTTTGTGTGTCTTTTGGAAGGTTAAATTGGCTTATGAACATGTAAAATGTTCACTAGTGTTCTTTTTCTCTAATTATTGTCCTGTCTCTTCTTATATTGGCAGGTTTAAGATAAGAACAAATGCAACTTCAATTATCTTAGTCCAGTGTATGGGACTAATGGGACAAGAATCTCAGTAACCTGCACTGAGATTCAGTCTTCAGAGTTGACAGGCTTTTTTCTCTTTCCTCCTTGTGTTCCTTGTATACTTCCAAATACTTTATGTGTGCATCTGGCATTTTCATGTTAGRGTTCTTGTGAAATAGATGGCATTAAAAAAAAATATTGCTGGTACCTTCAGATGGAGAGTGTAAAGGTCATTTCTGCATTAGAAAGTTCACTTTGAGTCCTGAGAGATATGATGAAAAACAATCCATTCTGCTGGAAGCAATGATAGCAATCCAGTGAAGAGAGTAAGAAGTTAAAGCAGATGCTCTCTGAGCTTTCAGGTAATGGGTCACAGTCTAGATGTGTCCTGAACCTGGAAGCAATTCCAGAATGAGAAATGCTGCTTTTAGTCCAACTGTCTGTTTCTGCAGACGGTTATATTGTGTTTGAGCCCTCTGTTGTGCTGGGAAACGGTGGGTTTCTCAGGCCCTGTAGTGAGATGGGCCTTAGTAGCTGGATCCACTCCAGCAGCTTGGTCATGATATGCTCATAGACCTGAAAGAATGAGAATACAAAGATGGGAATCCTGGACTCCTGTCTCATAGCTATTCAAGGCAGTAGGTGAAAATCCCCTTTCATAAACAGGTCAACTTATGCAAGTCACAAAAACGTCAAAACCAAAAATACTGATAATCGTGAAAAAAAGAGTTTTCATATGCTGGTGTCATGTTGTTTTGCTCTTGCAGATAAGAGTTTTTGGAACTTCCCTATCACGATGTTTTACAGCCTTTATTTGTGCTACTGTCACTTTTTTTCTGAGCATATCTCTTACTGTTTCAGCTTCTCTTTCCCTCACTATTACAGCTGCCTCTAACTTGACCAAAAAGTTATCTCTGTAAAAGCTTCTTCTAACAATAAACTAATGCACTTTTYTGCTTGGATTGCATTTTGCTTTTCATTTTTATTGAGTCCTTTGCTTTGCTCAGGAAACACTGACTCGGAGTTTCACCTCTTATGAATTTATCAGAATTTGGGTGTTTTGTCATCAGCTCGAGGATCTGGTGAGGATCTTCAGGCCTCATCTTTTGCCTTAAGGCAGTATTAGTACATCCAGAGTTGGAAAGGGAAAAAGCTCTCTATTTTAAATTTAAATTTGGTGAAGGATCTACAGTACCTGAAGTGACTTGCTCTGTCAGCAGCTTTGCCTGAAGTGTGGGACCTGACACTTTAATGCCGTTTTGTCCCCTTTGGGGGCTGGTTTGCCTGCAAAGGAAACCCGGCCAGGTGGCCCTGACCAGCACCCARCTCTGTCTTAGATGTAGTCACCGAAATCAGTGAGAACCATGTCACTAATATCAAGAAATCTGAGTTTGTCCCTTATTTTTTTTGTCGTTTTGGGTACAATCTGCAAGTTCCTAGTAGTACCTGATTTCTCCGCCTTTAGGGGTGGATCTCTTTTGGGTCGCAGCCTTCTGTAGGTGGCTTGGTTGATAAGGAGAAGCACTTCTGTGAGTGGGAATCGTAGCAAGTTTCAGAAGGGTGTCTGTGAAAGGTCTTAAGTCCCTGAAAGCTGAAAAAAAAAGTCTATGCAGTAGTAATAATGGATTTATTTTCTGGTTTTATAGTTTAGTCAAAAATACTTTTCTTTTGCAAAATATGATGACAGAAGAGGCCTCTTCAGTTGCATAAGGGACTTTTTGTTGCTGTCTTTGGGAGTTAATTCCTGAGGAAAGGAGATAGTTGTGCTGCAGTGGAGGATGGATTTCTGTGCATCTGCTGAGATCTAGCAATCCGTGGTTTCATAACCTTTGTCTGCTAGGCTTGTGGCCTTTCCTAAAAAGACTTTTGGCTGACAACTTTACAGCAATCTGCTCTGTATGTAGATTTTGAATTTGGAAACTAATGGCTAAACCATAAGAGGAAAATCTGTTCTGTTTATTGGAGAAGTTACAAGTACCACCTTCCTTCATATTTTTCCCTCTCTTTTCTTCCACTAAGCGATTCCCTATGCACATTGATTACTTTTTGGCAATTATATTAATTGCCTGCAATAGGTATTATTTAAATGTATCCAAGTTTTTTGCTGCTATGGCAGACATCAGAGGGTTTGAGTTTTTYAAAATCAGGTATTTCTTCCTTTATTTCTTTCCCCCTTTTTACTGAAGACGTCTTTAAGTTAAGAAGGGATGCTCTGGAAGGACCTAGCGGGGGGGAAAAGGGCCCATTAGCATCAGTGGGTCACAAGACGCAATGTTGTTATCATGTGTCTGTCCTCTCCATCCCAATAGTACTTTCTTCCCTAAATGTGCCCCAATTTGGCAAAAAGCTGGAAAATTTGATTTTAAGTAGTTACACAGTCCTTTTAGCTTATTATTATTTCTAGAGTTCTGCTGTAGCATTCTAAGCTATTTTTAAGCTTTCTATGTAATTACTAAAGAAGCACCTGTTCCATAAACTTGGTTGTCCAAAAAGCAATTACCAAATCATTTCTAATCCCCAAGGATTTTTARTTTCAAATGCTGTCTGCATGATACAGAGCAGTAATATTCTAGTTTTACAATGTGATGCTCTTTGTTCTAGGAATGTTTACAAGGATTACCGCTTCCTTGAGCTTGCCTGTGACTCCCAGGAGGAGGTGGATAGCTGGAAGGCATCTCTRCTCCGAGCCGGTGTCTATCCTGATAAATCCTCAGTAAGTTAAGCTGCTTGCTGGGTTTTTCRGTAGCTGCTCTGTGTGAGTCAGAACCACAATCTCCTCATCTGGGAAGACACCCTGTCTGCAGATATTTCAAGAAATTATAGCTTTCTGGTTAAACTCTTCTACAGTTATTTTAAAATATTCACAATGAAATATTTTAAGATTAATCTATGTGTCAAACTTCAATATATATATATATTTTACCCTCTCTAGATTTTTTTCTTTGTATATTTTGGAAGATTTTATTTGGATTTGAATGTATTGTATTATGAATATAATGTATTTGGAAAATGAATATATATTTATATATTTTATATATAGAAAATCTTCCAAAATACTCTCCGTTGGTCCTGAGTAGTAAAATATTGAGCAATTTGAAGTTCCGTGACCTTTATTGTTTCTATTAATGTCTTCTAAGGTAAAGATATGTGCCTGCAAGCTCGGCACATAACTGACAGAGGCATCCAAGCACCTATTTCTATTTTATTGATTCACTGGATGTTTTTGTGTGTGAAACGTACTAAACCTTTCCAGGCTAATCATAATGTAAAGCAAAATGAGTAGGGAACAGAAAAGAGGCCTCAATTATACAGAAAGGAGAGCAAGTCAGGAAATGACATGACGAGCAAACTCTTTCGAACTTTGTCTTTTGATGTTGTTCCTGTTTCTACAAATTTGGGAGGAGGCTCTAGGTCCCGCTCCTAAATCCAAACTTCTTCAAGTGCCAGTGCAGCTGAGGCCATTGCAGCAGGGCCCAGAGCACCAGAACTAAATGGCAGTCCTGAACTCCAGTGGTTAAAGCACTTTCTGATAAATGCTTCACCTTTCTTAAGCAGAAGATCTGCTTAAGGAGAAGATCTGCTACTCTGCTAGATCCCTTTTCTGAGACATGAGAGTGATGCTTTATTTTGATGAAATTTGTCCTTCTTTGTGCCKGTGTTCCTTGGATAGACCAGGCCCCTAAAGTCCGCTGCTCTGGGGTCTGGTCCTGGCTGCCACCTYGTCCTTCTCTCCTACCACTTCCCTTGTACCTGTGATATCCCCACAGCTTCCCATATAATTCTGTTTGCATCTCCTCCTGCTGCTATTTAGGCACACAAACAACTACCAGAAGCAATTTTACAAGAAYTAATTATGAGATGTTATCTATTTAATTACTAGGCTTGAAATATTACATTGTTCCCTTTTCTTGTTTAGATTTTAATGATATTAAATCAGATGTAGCAACAGTTAACATTTTTTCAATCTTTGATTCTATGTCATTTGTCATATTCAGAYATTTTATGCTTTATTTTTAAGCAAGGCAGACTAGTTGGATTTTCAAATTTCACTTCTGTCCTTCTGTCTCTTCCTTACCCCTAAAAATATTTTGCATTTGTTGTTGTTGTTACTTCTGTTTTTTGTTTTTGTTTAAAGTGACTTTTTTAAAGGAATTTTAGAGCTTTTTTCATAGGATGAAAGGAAGGGCATCTTCAAAATTTAGTTCTTGTTGAGCTGGAATTATCTTTACATGGCAAAAGTTTTAGAGACATCAGCTAATCATTTATTCTCCTTGGAAGGACTGAAGACCCTGCTTTTGAACAGGTGACACTGCTAGGGACCAGGTGCAAATCATGTCAGTGTTTCCCCATAGCTTGGCAATCTCAGAGCTTGCAAAGAGGTCCCTTAGTCCCTTTGCAGGGACTTCTTGCTCTTTTGCCTGTACAAATTACAGCTGGTAACTTCAAGTATCTAAGACTGCGGCACCAAAAGTAGAAAAATTGCTGCTTAGAAATGAAAAATAGATGAATAGTGCTGTAAACCTGGCGTACTGCAGTGGCAAAGCTGGCCTGCTTTCTGTAACTGCCAGAGCAGTGCACATAGCCTGGAACCTGAAAGGTAAGCTGTGGGTTTTCATCAACAGTTCTCCTACTCGTGGTCAAGAACACTGATGTAAAATCCAACTCATTTTCCCTTTGTTGAGAAACCTCCATGGTGACAGGAATATTAGGAATTTGTCCTTGTGTTCAAGAGATTTTTTTTTCCTGAACCCTCACTCAGAGCAAAACTCTGCACTAAGAATATTTGTTTTTCTAAGAGTGCTGCTTGAAATTGTGTAATTACAGGCATACTGGGCCCCAACACTTACTGCCACTAACATAGTCATGCTCCCCCTATTTGTCTCCAGGACTAACCTAATTCATAAGCAAAGTCCCAAGTTGCTGATTGTTTCCCCCTAAGCAAAACTCTTAATATGAACTTGAAGGCCAGATCTCATTCCATTCCTCCATTTCCTTGCTTCCTTTTGCCTGCCTTCCTTGGCTGCTCTGCACACACGCACTCCCGTGCATGTATTCACTCTCTTCAGCCACCCCAAGAAGCTGCTCGAGGAGCCCCTSAGCTCTTCTGCAGTTTGCCAAGTCACCTCCTTCCCCCGCAGAATTTGCTGTTGTCAGGCCGTGGGCTCTGACAGCCACCCGGATAGCCATGAATCAGTGTTTTTATTTTTCCAAGCCATATGCAATTCAGCTTGCCCGATATAAATCACACTGCTGTGGCTGATTCACTTTGAAACGCGATATCCATTTAGCAGCTGACAGTACTGCTGGGTTTCGGTCCTGATGCATCCAAACCTCCTTTTTTTTTTTTTTTTTTTTTTTTTTTAAAAAAAAATGACTGCAACTTGGTGACTAACCTTTCCAGACTGTATTTCTCAACTGTAGGCTGGTGTTTATTTTGGCTGACTTCCCACTGCATAATATACACTGCTCATGCCAGCTCATGGCAAAACTCGCAATTAAAAAAAATAATAGCACAGATGTTCATCGTAACTTGTTCTGCACTCTTTACCTTGCGAGCACTGTTCATTCCTTTTCCTCTCACCCTTTCTGCCATCCCCTCCCTTTTTTTATTGCTAAGCTAAATATACAGTATTTGCTTTTTAAAAAGCGTTGGATAGTGAAACTTTCCGTTCGTTAGCGTGTTGCAGGGAGTGGTTGTTGGGAAGGGTAAGCGGGTCTGGTCGGTGGGTTCCTTTACCTACCAGTTCAGCACTACCAATGTGTGAAAATCCCTCTGGCTTTGGTCCCATGCCCAGATCATTTCAGGCCTCATTTTCCCATTCCTTTGTATTAAAGTCCACAGACTTCCCTGGAACCGCTCCTGATTCACACTGGAGGAAGCAAAGGAAGAATGTTTGGGTAGAGAGGAAATTTTGGAAACGGGTGAATTTACAACTTCACTGAACATCCTCGATCCTTTGCGAATTCCCTGTGCTCCCCAGGAAGCTCCCTAACCAAAGGATCCAATGAATGTTCATTGAGGCAGTTTTTCATTTGGTTTGAGTGATTTCCAGAACTGTGCAAGCTAGATTGAATGTTTSTAAGAAAAATGTATCTAATATTTCTCTCTTTCTCCCCTCTTTCCTCCTTGCTGCATCCTGCAAAGGGGAACAGCAGAGTAAGTTCTTTGTCCTTTCACAAAATCCTTTTGTAACCTGCCACAAGGCTTTTGTTGGGGCAATGGGCTTCTCTTGTGGTTCACACAACAGTTGCCTGTATGCCCTTTATGGCAAAATTGTGTTACAAATGTTGGTGCAAAAGTGTTGTGTATAAAATTACTAACAGCCCTTTGTTTTAATTTTGGGGAAGGAGAGGTGTTAAATATTGCTGAGGTTTTTTTTTTCTTTTTTTTTTAATGCAATTTGGTAAGAATGATACCATAAAACAGTATTGGGACCAAAGATTATGAAGGTATAGTAATAAAGACCTTCTGAGGAAAGGTTACTACAGTCTGATGAAACTCATTACAGCTGGATTTTTTGACCATACATCAAAGCTTGTATTAATGGGCAGTTATAAAAACCCAGCACTGAAGTCTTAAATAACAGATTTGCTGGCGTTGTTGGCTAAGCTGAACTAGATCAGTGTACTGGCTTTGAAGGTGCCTTAAAATGGATGGAGGAGGGTGGGGTCAACATTTGACTTGGCTTCTAGACCCTTGATGTGTTCCAGCTGGACAGCAGCAGAAGGGTGTGGGGTGTGGAGAGGGAGAGCTGAACTATGCATGGTAGGTTTCTTGAAACTAAGCAGCACATGAAAAGACAGTTTTGCTGATGTTGATCTGATAAACTAATAATCAGGCAGTTGCCAGGGCTAGTACTTTTTTTTTTTAATGTCACTTCTGTTGAGCTTAAGAGTGGAAATTGCACATCGCACACTTTGGAATATGATGCAGAGAGAGTTTGTCATACAGTGGACAGTGGAAAGAAGTTACACAGCTTTTGGGCCTTTTTCTTTTCTTTTCTTTTCTTTTTTTTTTTTTTCTTTTTTTCTTCCTCCTGTTCTGGTGTATTAACCCTTAGGAAAGATGTATTTGGAATGTCAAGAGATGCTTCCTAGCAAATGTTCAAACCAATCCTGGAAATATTGCTTGTTGTGTTATGTATTGAGTTTGAAGCATTTCTGGTATTTTGGAAAGACTATAAACTGGGTTTAAAATATTAACAAGATTTGAAAGTTTGTCTTTTTTCATTTTTTATTTTCTTTTAAAGCAATTTTTGATTCCTCTGTCTCCATAACAGCTGAGCTGAGAAGCACCAAAAATCCTTGGGTTTGTTGGTCATTCCAGAAAAGAGGATTTTAATATTGGGTAGAGAGGTGTTAAGAAAAGTCGAGCATGGAKGACATGGAAAGAGGGACCTTACCTAGGAGATGATATGAAATGTAAATGTTGCTGTGTTCACTTACAGTATCAAGCTAATGTTTCTAATGTTTCTTTCTCATATGCTGCCTTTAGGCTGTGCAGTGCCAGTGAATGCTGATCTGCCCTGCAGATGAGAGACTAGGGACTGTAGGTGCTCTGCCAAGGGAGCGAGAGTAAATGGGGCACCAAGGAACTCATGGGACGGGCAAGGCCGATCCTGGAGGTCAGGAGGTGCATGAAGAGGTTCTGTGTGTGCTCCAGAGACCTGAACTGTGGGTCACTCCAGGGAGGTCACCTCTAGCAGGGAGAGTTAACTRCCAACATGAGGCAGGGTGCATACTTGAAGCAACTTGTGAGATTTGAGAGGTGGTGAAGCTGTCAGCTCTCCTTTTGCTTCAAGCTGGGAGAAATTCTCACTCTAGATTCTCCTCCTGGGCTGGTCTGTCAACCAGGAAATAATTCCAAGAAATATTGCTGAAAGTTGTCYTGCCCCTTCCCTTGGAACTGATTCATTCTGAGGATCTTTGCATCATCACTGCTGTACCCCGTCCCCTCCCTCCTCTTTGACACAAGCCTTTCAGGCCGGCTTCTGGGGCAGTCTGCAGCTGCTCATGGGGCTCAAACCCCATGGCCAATGTGCTGTAGGGACACTTCCACCTTCTAGGTGCATGAAAAACAAATAGGAAAACCTGAGAGTTGGAGGCAAAGTTGGAGGAGCTGTCAGGAGGACAGAGGAGAAGTAGGCTGATGATCACAGTGACTTTTCAAATCAGTCAAATCCTTCCTTACTGCTTCGGGCATCTAGCAGAGCTGTAATGCTCCTGTAATCACTGCCTCGTATTGCATTCACCCAGCTGACAATGTCATGTACATCTACCCCTTCTCTACCTATGCCTTTAAGTTGACACCTTTAGATTTACAAAAGTAAAAATAAACATTGGAGTAACGAGTTCCTTGAAGAGAAAAGGGCGGGTGAGAAGGTTTATATTTGTCAGTGGATCTACTAATCATTTTTATTTTTACTTTTTACTGTTGCACAATCATTAACGTAAGTGAGATTTCTCACGTGGTTAAAGTTAAATATATCTTCAATAGCTTTGTTGGATAAGATCTGTAAAGGGGTCGCTTAGAATGAGGTAATGGAGACCTACCTCATTGAGCAAGCACATGTTGGCGAGCCACATTATTAATAGTAAAACTGAACTCTGCTCTGCARTCTTGCATTGAGACAGGAGAGCACTGAGAAATGGCTTGTTGCTTCAGTTCAGATGCTGAGGACACGGGAGCCGAGTGTCTAAATAACTTTGTGGATTTGGACCTTGCCCTGTGTGCCTTCATCGCCTTGCTTAAAAAGCCTTCCAGAGCGTGCCATGAAAAAAAAAATCCATTTTAAATTAAAAAAAAAAAAAAAAAGGTTAAGTTAAAAGATCAGGTGGGTGCTGTGTCCTCACAAAATTTTGATTCCAAATCCATATTTAAAAAAAAAAAATCTGCAGAGTTCACCTTTCTTTTGTGGTCACCAGGGCCTGAACTCAACAACCATTTCTGCCTGATTTGAAGTATCAAAGATTTGAATGCTGTGATTAGACATGACAAAATCCAACCTAGAATCCTAGAAAATAAGTCTAATTAAACTACATTGCATGCAGTGATTTTGACCTTCTTTTCTAAGGGCTTTGCATTACACTGCTTACTTACATCTTTACAAAGCATATAGAACTGAAAAATGATAAGTCATGTATTTTCATCTTGTATCTTCATCTTTTGTGAACTTGTGAAGAAAATGTGAACAAGATTGGTCATATGGAACATTTACTGGGTATAAAGTCAGCGAAAGTTAGCTTGAATTTTCTCTTGAGACAAACAAAATTCCATTTGAATTTTGAGAAGAAGAAATACACGGGCAAATACACTCCTTGCTGCTCGGTTTGCTTGTTGTTCCTTAAAATAGTTCTTGGTGACAGTTGCTTCAATTCAAGYCCCTCTTCAGAGGGCAGGGGGAGAATTTTACCAAACCCAGATTCCAGATCAGCTACTTCATTAAAAAGACCAGATGTCCTGGTTTCTCTCGAGACAGTCCTGGAAAATATAGCAGCTTACATTTAGCGAATGCAGGATACTCATTCAAATTATGTATATAACAACAGCGCTCTCGGCTCATCTATTTCATGCTTGCTTGGCAGTTGACGTGGAAGTGGATATATTGTTCCATGGATGTATCTTCGCATAACCCAAGTGCTGTGACGCTGCCTTTTTCCAGTTCAGCYGTATTCCTGGAGGGTCTTCCTCCCCCTCGTAGCTGTACGTTGGGACTGAGCCAGTCTCGGGCTGTGGTGATGCTGTCCGAGCGCCCCAGGCAGATGCAGACTGAAAGCGAGTGGCTCTGCTCAGAGACTGCTGGAGTCAATGTTTAGTCCATAAGTTATGAAAAGTAAAGACTCAGTTGCGTTTGTTGCAGAGTGAGAAATTGAGATGGACACTGCTGATACGATGAAAGGCACAACAGTGGAGGTATAAGGGTAAACTGTGCACTTACTATGTYTTACAATTTTTCAAAAGCAAACTAAGACATTTTAGAAAAGGCGAGCATCAAGTTCTCTGCAAAGGAGAATCCACTTCAATTACGACAAACTTGGGTTTAGGCCAGCTACTTTTAWAAGTAACTTTTACATGAAGAAGCGCTAAAATATTTTTCAGAGAGGAAAAATGCCATAACTTTATAGACAGCGTTTCGGTCATTGCTTCTCCAGACGAACTGGCTTTTACAATGAAGTCGGGGCGTAAAGGCGGCGAGCGTGCGTGTGCACCCAGGCTGCCTGGAAGGCGGGCCAAAATGCAGGCAGGAAAGGAAATGGCAGGCTGTTTTTCAGCCCCATTCCTGCTGCCTCCCTCTTTCAAGGATGTGAGAACAAATGTTTCAAATAAAAGCTATCTTCTCGTCTCCGAACTACTGCCTAGCTCAAACAAAAACTAGACGCAACTGGTGCCTTGTTCCCCAAAGGGCAGGTGACTTCAGTGCCAGAAGCTGAGAAATAGTTCAACCTTGTTTTTATTTTTTTAATTGCGATTTTTATTCTTAAGAGGAAAATAATCCCTGGCATGAGAGAGTTAAAAATGTGCAGGGGAAAGAGAGATTCGTAGCGTTGCATCAGTTGCACTGACTGTAACAAGATGCAGGCGAGCGACCTGAAGGATTTCCAAAGCAGTCCCAGCGAAGCTGCTATCTGCCTACCAGGAGCCAGGGGTTCAATTGCAGTAAGTTTTCTACATTTCTGCTATGAAATGGACCTGCTGACGCTAAGCAAGCTTCAGGAAATTTAGAAATGAGCAAACATTTTTTTTATTTCTCTAATGTATTCATGGTGGGCTCCTTAGTGTGCTCTTGGCAAGGCATCTGCATATTGAAAATATTTTGAAATTCTTCCTGTTTTATGGCACGGCTAATTTTTGCACCACTTCCACCCGTATAAACCATTTCATTGAAGCTGTATGGAAAGGTGAAAACTCTTCGACTGTCAAGTTTTCAGCTCATGGAGCAAGACCGTGAGTCCAGCTCTGGACCCGTGTGCCCACGGAAAGGCTGGGAGAGTGAGATTTGCCCTGGGGCAGGCAGTGCCAAGGGGCAATCCCCAAGGAATTTTCTTTTGTTGCCAAAAGTGTCTCCAAGCTCTCACACATCCATAGCATTTCAAGTGTAAAAGGAAATGGAGTCACTGGACATGAGGGTGGAGAGCAGCTGGTGAACTGCCAGATAT